GCAAGTTCCCTCAACAATAATAACATAATTGGATCATATAACTATCCCTCAACATGCAACAAAGAGTCATTCCAAAGTCACTAATAGCGAAGAACAAACGAAGAGATTATGGTAGGGTACGAAACCACCTCAAAGTTATCCTTTCTGATCGATCTATTCAAGAGTCCGTAGTAAAGTAACATGAAGCTATTCTTTTCGTTCAATCTATCATAGAGTTCGTACTAGAATAACACCTTAAGACACAAATCAACCAAAACCCTAATGTCGCCTAGATACTACAATGTCACCTCAAGTATCCGTGGGTATGATTATACGATATGCATCACACAATCTCAGATTCATCTATTCAAACCAACACAAAGTACTTCAAAGAGTGCCCCAAAGTTCCTACCGGAGAGTCAATATGAAAACGTGTGCCAACCCCTATGCATAGGTTCATGGGAGGAACCCGCAAGTTGATCACCAAAACATACATCAAGTGGATCAATAGAATACCCCATTATCACCACGGGGACCCCACGTAAGACATACATCAAGTGTTCTCAAATCCTTAAAGACTCAATCCGATAAGATAACTTCAAAGGGAAAACTCAATCCATTACAAGAGAGTAGAGGGGGAGAAACATCATAAGATCCAACTATAATAGGAAAGCTCGCGATACATCAAGATCGTACCACCTCAAGAATACGAGAGAGGGAGATCAAACACCTAGCTACTGGTACATACCCTCGGCCCCGAGGGTGAACTACTCCCTCCTTGTCATGGAGAGCGCCGGGATGATGAAGATGGCCACCGGAGAGGGATTCCCCCCTCCGTCAGGGTGCCGGAACGGGTCTAGATTGGTTTTTGGTGGCTACGGAGGCTTCTGGTGACGGAACTCCCGATCTATTCTGCTCCCCGAAGTTTTTAGGGTATATGGGTATATATGGGAGGAAGAAGTACGTCGGTGGACCTCCGAGCTGTCCACGAGGCAGGGGGCGCGCCTAGGGGGGTGGGCGCGCCCCCCACCCTCGTGGGCAGCCCGGGACTCTCCTGGTCCATCTCTGATACTCTGTGGGCTTCTTATGGTCCAAAAATAAGTTCCATGAAGTTTCAAGTCAATTGGACTTCGTTTGATTTTCCTTTTCTGCGATACTCTAAAACAAGGAAAAAAACAGAAACTGGCACTGGGCTATGAGTTAATAGGTTAGTTCCAAAAATCATATAAAATAGCATATAAATGCATATGAAACATCCAAGGTTGATAATATAATAGCATGGAACAATAAAAAATTATAGATACGTTGGAGACGTATCAGCATCCCTAGGCTTAATTCCTGCTCGTCCTCGAGTAGGTAAATGATAAAAACAGAATTTTTGATGTGGAATGCTACCTAACATATTTATCCATGTAATTCTTTTTATTGTGGCAAGAATATTCAGATCCATAAGATTCAAGACAAAAGTTTAATATTGACATAAAAATAATAATACTTCAAGCATACTAATAGAGCAATCATGTCTTCTCAAAATAACATGGCCAAAGGAAGCTATCCCTAAAAAATCATATAGTCTGGCTATGATCCATCTTCACCACACAAAGTATTTAAATCATGCACAACCCCGATGACAAGCCAAGCAATTGTTTCATACTTTTGATGTTCTCAAACTTTTTCAATCTTCACGCAATACATGAGCGTGAGCCATGGACATAGCACTATAGGTGGAATAGAACGGTGGTTGTGGAGAAGACAAAAAGGAGAAGATAGTCTCACATCAACTAGGCGTATCAACGGGCTATGGAGATGCCCATCAATAATATCAATGTGAGTGAGTAGGGATTGCCATGCAACGGATGCACTAGAGCTAATAGTGTATGAAAGCTCAACAAAAAAACTAGTGGGTGTGCATCCAACTCGCTTGCTCACGAAGACTTAGGGCATTTTGAGGAAGCCCATCATTGGAATATACAAGCCAAGTTCTATAATGAAAAATTCCTACTAGTATATGAAAGTGACAACATAGGAGACTCTCTATCATGAAGATCATGGTGCTACTTTGAAGCATAATGTGGTAAAAGGATAGTAGCATTGCCCCTTCTCTCTTTTTCTCTCATTTTTTATATTTTTTTATTTGGGCCTTTTCTCCTTTTTAAGGCATTTTTTATTATTTGGGCTTCTTTGGCCTTTTTTCGCCCGGAGTCTCATTCCGACTTGTGGGGAAATCATAGTCTCCATCATCCTTTCCTTATTGGGACAATGCTCTAATAATGATGATCATCACACTTTTATTTACTTACAAACTCAAGAATTACAACTCGATACTTAGAACAAAATATGACTCTATATGAATGCCTCCGGTGGTGTACCGAGATGTGCAATGACTCAAGAGTGACATGTATGGAAGAATTATGAACGGTGGCTTTGCCACAAATACGATGTCAACTACATGATCATGCAAAGCAATATGACAATGATGTGTGTCATAATAACGGAACGGTGGAAAGTTGCATGGCAATATATCTCGGAATGGCTATGGAAATGCCATAATAGGTAGGTATGGTGGCTGTTTTGAGGAAGGTAAATGGTGGGTTTATGGTACCGGCGAAAGTTGCGCGGTACTAGAGAGGCTAGCAATGGTGGAAGGGTGAGAGTGTGTATAATCCATGGACTCAACATTAGTCATAAAGAACTCACATACTTATTGCAAAAATCTATTAGTTATCAAAAGAAAGTACTGCGCGCATGCTCCTAGGGGGATAGATTGGTAGGAAAAGACCATCGCTCGTCCCCGACCACCACTCATAAGGAAGACAATCAATAAATAAATCATGCTCCGACTTTAGCTCATAACGGTTCACCATACGTGCATGCTACGGGAATCACAAACTTTGACACAAGTATCTCTCAAATTCACAACTACTCACTAGAATGACTCTAATATTACCATCTTCATATCTCAAAACAATCATCAAGTATCAAACTTCTCATAGTATTCAATGCACTTTATATGAAAGTTTTTATTATACCAATATTGGATGCCCATCATATTAGGACTAAATTCATAACCAAAGCAAAATACCATGCTGTTTAAAGACTCTCAAAATAATATAAGTGAAGCATGCGAGTTCATCTATTTCTTCAAAATAAAACCACCGTCGTGCTCTAAAGAGATATAAGTGAAGCACTAGAGCAACAACAAACTACTCCGAAAGATATAAGTGAAGATCAATGAGTAGTCAAATAATTATGCAACTATATGAAAACTCTCTAACATTTAAGAATTTCAGATCTTGGTATTTTATTCAAACATCAAGCAAAACTAAATAAAATAAAATGACGCTCCAAGCAAAACACATATCATGTGGCGAATAAAAATATAGCTCCAAGTAAAGTTACCGATGAACGAAGATGAAAGAGGGGATGCCTTTCGGGGCATACCCAAGACTAGGCTTTTGGTTGTCCTTGAATATTAACTTGGGGTGCCTTGGGCATCCCCAAGCTTAGGCTCTTGCCACTACTTATTCCATAATCCATCGAATCTTTACCCAAAACTTGAAAACTTCACAACACAAAACTTAACAGAAAACTCGTAAGCTCCGTTAGCGAAAGAAAACAAAACACCACTTCAAGGTACTGTAATGAACTCATTATTTATTTATATTAGTGTAATATCTACTGTATTCCAACTTCTCTGTGGTTTATAAACTCTTTTACTAGCCATAGATTCATCAAAATAAGCAAACAACACATAAAAACAGAATTTGTCAAAAACAGAACAGTCTGTAGTAATCTGTAGCTAACATAAACTTCTGGAACCCCAAAAATTCTAAAATAAATTGCTGGACGTGAGCAATTTATCTATTAATCATCTGCAATAAGAATTAACTAAATAACACTCTCCAATAAAAAATGGCAGCAATACTCGTGAGCGCTAAAATTTCTGTTTTTTACAGCAAGATCAACAAGACTTTCCCCAAGTCTTCCCAATGGTTCTACTTGGCACAAACACTAATTAAAATCATAAAACCACATCTAAACATAGGCTAGATGAATTATTTATTACTAAACAGGAACAAAGAGCAAGGAACAAAAATAAAGTTGGGTTGCCTTCCAACAAGCGCTATCGTTCAACGCCCCTAACTAGGCATGATGATTTCAATGATGCTCACATAGAAGGTAAGAATTGAAACATAAAGAGAGCATCATGAAGAATATGACTAGCACATTTAAGTCTAACCCACTTCCTATGCATAGGGATTTTTTGAGCAAACAACTCATGGAACAATAATCAACTAGCATAGGAAGGTAAAGCAAGCAAAACTTTAAGATTTTAAGCACATAGAGCGGAAACTTGATATTATTGCAACTCTTACAAGCATATATTCCTCCCTCATAATAATTTTCAGTAGCATCATGAATGAATTCAACAATATAACTATCACATAAATCATTCTTTTCATGATGCATAAGCATAGAATTTTTATCACTCTCCACATAAGCAAATTTCTTCTCATGAATAGTAGTGGGAGCAAACTCAACAAAATAACTATCATGGGATTGAAAATTGAAATCAAGATGACAAGTTTCATGGATATCATTATTCTTTATAGTATACAAGTCATCACAATAATCATCATAGATAGCAACTTTGTTCTCATAATCAATTGGAATCTCTTCCGAAATAGTGGATTCATCACAAAATAAAGTCATGACCTCTTCAAATCCACTTTTATCAAAAGATTTATTTTAAGTGCATAACTCAAACATCAACTCTTTGGTTTTCATTGTGAGTCCACATATGCTCCACCTGTCGGTCCATTTTCTCTTAATCATGTCCACTTTTTCGTCTGAATCCGACGAATCAAAGAACTCATCTTAAATCATTTGGTCAAGCTCCGTCGACTCATACTCGTCGTCCTACGAAGCATCGGAATTCATCGTTTTCCCTAAAAATCACAAAAATTAGGTCGAACACATAGTGCATGAAGGGGAGCCCGTGAGTTGCCAGACGTACTGCAATGGCGTCCGGGCCGGCGACGACGTCTTCGATGGCGAGGACGGGAGAGAGGAGTGATGTGCCGATGGTGGCGGCGCAGAGGCTCGGAACAGCTGCAGACCGCGCGTGGCAGCAGAGCTACGAGACGGATGCCGCGGAAAAGAAAGAAGAGAGGAGAGAGCAAATGGATCCGGTAGGGCAAGGGATAGATTTGGTGCAATTTGAGGTGGGGTAGGGCTGTCGGGTCTCAGTGGCGGGCGCGTCCGAGCGGCCCATATCCATCCTATATTTAGGCTGGATACGAGGAGTGCCGGTCAGCCGGGGGGTTTGAGGTGCCCATCTAGGTCGATTTTTTGTGACCAGTCAGTTACCGGGCCGTCTGCCCGGGCGTTTGAGGCGGGTATGGGACGCCCGGGTGTAGATGCTCTTATATAGCACTCAAAAGAAAAAAAAACTTGTGTGAACCAACCTGTAGTTAGATGATTAGAGAGACAGTGATATCCACAGCCCACCAGGTTTCAAGTCCTGGTAAATGACATGCCGGATCAGTCTCTCGAAGGTGCTCATATGCGTTCATATGGGTGAGTGTATGAGCGTAAGTATGAGCGCTTAAGGCTGTGCTGATGTTAAAAAAAAAGAAGAAACTTGTGGATCTCTTGTTTTGGGACTTCCAATCGTGGCACGGCGCAATTCTACGGCCCACTCGTCAGTGGCAGCAATTTCCCGGAATCGAGACATTACTGCGCAAAGCACTCCCGCTTGGACGAGGATCCCCTGCCGTGCGGCAGGGTGCCGTTCCGTCGCTGACTCATAGGCCCGACTGAAATTTGACCCACCTGTCAGTGGCCTAACGGCAGGCGCCGTACGTCAGAGGAGCTTCCCCGCTTTCCCCACCCACACCCCCGGCCCGGGCCCCCATCTTCGCCCCTTTGTTCCTCCCTCTTTTGCATCTCTCGCCGGGGCAGGGCACGGAGGGTGGAAGAAACAGGGCGGCAGCCGTGCTGGGCAGGAGGAGGAAGGAAGCAACCCCACCCACCACCCGCTTCTTCTTCCTCCCCTCTCCACGCCTCCCAGGGCCCGAGCTGCTGCCATGGCGGATAGCAACCCGGACAGCATCAAGAGATACACGCCTCCCGTGCACAGGTCAACCCCTCCCGCATTCGCCTTTCTTTCCAGGACGCTCGTGCAGCTTCTTGCCATTTTCGATTCGGGCCGCGCTTACCGAGAATCGCATTCCGAGTGTGGGATTGGACCCCGGCCTGGTCGAATCCTTTGCGAGAAGGGGTGGCTTCTTGGTGATCTGGGGCACCTGTGGCGCGGAGGCTGGGAGCTGCCTGCCTTGGATTCGGTCATTTCCTGGGATTTTGGTACTACTATTACGCTTCGGGGCATGAAATTCATGTGGTGGTTTGGTTGGGATTAGCTGGAAGGTTGACGGTGTGACCTTCTCATTGCCCTTCTTAGATTTGGCTGCTACGTCGTTTTCTATAGCTGCTTAATGCGTGTGATTTGAGGTAGAGCCTGAGAACATGTAATAGCCTATGATGTCACCGAATCGGCGAATCTAGCCTTGCTTTTTTTTCTTTTCGCTATTTCTGCTAGCTAATAGAGGGCATAATGAAAGCGGTTCTTGACACATATATCTTCATCACTAGCAAGCTACCATTGTTGGTCCTGGGGTGGTCTTTTGGCACGCTGATCTAGTTTATCAGTGAGTATATGGAAAAAGGACACTCTTGAAAGCTAACTTTTTGCCTAAAGGGTGTTTGTTTAGCTTTGGTCAAGCATCATGGCTTCATTCCGAGATGAAGGGTGACTCTAGTGTGGATTATTCAACTTAACGCAACCTTGCTCAGCCACTCTTACCCATGCAGTCGTCCAGCTTGGATAAAGCCGATGATCAGTTTGAAGTAGTGTATATAATTGGCTTAAAGGTCTCTTGTCTATATTATCTGGCTCTGCATGTTTTAGATTTCTGTTATTCAAATGCTGTAATTGTTCTGTAGTCACTTACGACTCACATTAACAAATTTAGTTCAGCATGAACAGAAAGTAGATTTGTTGGAGCAATCTTGTGTGTTCAGTTGACAATATCATTGATTTGGTCAGTTGTTCTTAGTTATGTTTCTAGTATTTCTGACCTGATACTTAGATATCTGCAGTTCTCAGTATGTGTATGATGTTTAAAAACCTAGTTAGTACTTGAAAGATGTTTTTGCGCTGACTGCATTGTTAGCTTTTTATGTTGCTACGTATTTGTGCATATGACCTGCTTGCTGATGTCTGTCTTTACTCTCATTATGCTTCAGGAATCGTGCAAACAATCGCCGCAAGGCTGGAGGTACATCTCATTTGGATGCGATTAGTTAGACTTCATAGATACTTGCTATGTTATGTTTTCCTTTTATTGTGTGTTTGGTCACTACGCTCAGTATGATGCGCATGGTCCCACCAATAGTCAATAACTCAATATGATCTGACGTAGTTGCTTGGTGTTATATGGTATCACTCATTGTGTCCCAAATTTTTTCTAGGAGTGCTTTTAGATGTCTTGTCCACATACTCCAATTAATGTGGTTCTTTGAGACAATGAGTGATACCATTAGTAACAATAAGATCTTTAGTACACCAACATCTCTGTATGAACACTCTATGCACCATTGCATGGGTTTAAAATATCGCACATCTAATGTAGGTCACCTGCAAATTGTAACCATATTCTGCTAATCTCTATAATTAGCCATTTCAGAAGTAAAAAATGACTTTGCTGTTCTTTTTACTTACATGATCATCTCTTATAGCTTCTCAGAATCTCCTTTCGTAGATATGTTTGCACTTCCGTTTTATCCATCTGTAATAAACTTTTGATGGCTAGTATTTTCCTTGTATGTATTTTCCTATGCTCAATCTGTATGTTTACGTTTAGCTAACATTTGGGAGACTTTTGCTATTTCATCAAGCAGATAGGGCTGAGAAAGCCAACTATTCATACAACAATGATGGAGAGAAGAGCCATGTTCCTTCACTAAAGAACCTTCCTCCAATTATCCATCATGATGCTTTTGTCAGCAATGCTCAAAATGATTACAGTCATGCAAGATTAGTACCATTGGAAGGATGTTCTGCCAGTGAGGCTTCACAGCTTCTCAGTGAACGTATGTTTATCAGAAAGACTGCATGCCCATACTGCCCTTTCAGTGGCTTGTAGAATATCTGTCTAGAAGTTATTTTCTTTTGAATACTGAAAGTTGCTACATATTATTGCCGTGTCACATAAAATCTACAATAACATGATAAGAAAGTGTGTGCGGTCTATTTCTGTTTTGAGCTTATGCATGCTAACAATTCAATATCCACTTACTCAAATTACAATGTGTAAGCATGGAACACCTTTTGCACTTTATTTCCAATTATATACTTGTTAGTCTTGGTTGTAAGAACATCCAATGATCCAGCTTGGATACCTATTGCTGATAATGTGATCTCTTCTTTTCCTTTATTAATCATATGCTCAACTGTTCGGTTTATGACAATTGCACTTACAAATCACCAGAGCTTAGGCAAGTTTAATTACTTATGGTCTGGTCTTCTCAGACACGCACTGTTATTTCATCCTACAAGCTGCAGCTGTTGTACTAAATCTGCATTAACTTATTTTGCTACATTTCACCTTGTGATAATAACCCTCCATACTGTTTCTCTGTAGGTTGGGCTGCTGCAATGAACATGTATAATGACCCAAATGATTCCCCTGGTGAGCACACATATTGCAATTAGTTTCACGTTGCTCCATTGGAGGTGTTAAAGCAAGCATAGCTCCTTAATATTCAAGAACCACCACACACAATTTGAAATTCGAATTAGCTTTCATCTATTGGCAGTTTAATTGGTTCTTGTGTGTTGGTTCATGCTACACCAACTTGATGGTTACATTCTTACGATGTTACCACATACTCCCTCCGTCCCAAAATAAGTGATTCAACTTTATACTAGCTTTAGTACAAAGTCGAGTCACTTATTTTGGGACGGAGGGAGTACAAAAAGTCAAATTAGCTCCCTCTACTATCAGGTAAGTCTATATTGGACTGCAGTGCAAGCTATTTAATCCCCTTAACAAGGACTGGTACTCTGGTACACATCACCCATTGATTTTCATTTTAAAAGCAGTTTTGATATGTCGATTGCTTCTGTTGTATCCCAGTCAGCATCATGCTAGTACATTAAAGTGTGAGGTGTCTTGTTGACATGGCTCATTGGCTTACTGACTTGGCGAATCAAACCCTGTTGGATTTCACATAAGCAAGCATGGCTAGGGTGAAAATTGTGCTAGTTTCGACGAGTGTTGAATAAGCGGTTTTACAGTAGCTGGTCCAGTTTAAACTTTCCTGAAAGTGAAAATTAATGATGCAAATTGGACTATAGCACATCATATCTAGTCTGCATAACCATAATGTAACGGTATCCTAGCAGCAAGTCTGAAGAATCATATCAGCTAGTCATGTGTATATTTTGCTAGCCTGATCTTTTGACATTCGCTGTCCTGTTCTAACCCTCCTGGTGGTGCTATGGTAAAAAAATGTTAACATGAAATGTTCAATTTCCCTAAGATACTTGCGTCTAGCAACTTCAGGCAACACATATGGGGGAGATTTACTGCATTGATAAGAGTGAATTTTGGATGGAGTTCTAAGCACAAGTAATTGGTGTATGACCCAAATTTTAGAAATAAGGATCAAAGATGCTCTAACGGCCTTTTAATGTGTAATTTTGTTAGCCTTTAATCATTGACAAGAAAGAATGCACGTGAATCTGAAGTGTTGGTAGCAGTAGTGGCACAGTCAAGGGGAAAGACAAAAATGTTCTTAGGATCATGTGGACCTATCAGTGTCACTAGGATAGTGCATGCTGCTGTGCACTTCAAACGTTTTTATGAATAATAGATGTCTCATAAAGATCATATTCAGCTATACTACCTTAACCTCATGTCAATGCTGCCAATCTCAAACAACAAAGCAGAGTGCCCTCCTATAATAATGCTAAGTTGCTAACTATGTTATCTCAATGGTTGAGCAGATAAACCAGTGATGTACGCTGGATCTGGCGGATCGTCATGGGGTCAAGGTCACATGAAGCTTCCTCATCAGGTATGAACTAAACCAACAAATTATTGTTGTTATTTTGGTTTTCCTCTTACGCCTTTTTTTCTTTCTATACGCTGATTGCTCTCCTGTAATGACTGGAAGTATAGATGAACTTCCTCGAAGATCTGCGTCGTGCGGTAGATGCTCAAACGGGCCTGGCAGCGGCGCTCAGCAGCTGGAACTAATTAAAGTCAAGCTGCATCGGTGGAGCGTCACAGATTTATCAGAAGCAAGCTATTTTGCCAGCTCAATTTGTGTTCAGTTTCGTTTGAAAACTATATGTATGATGAGAAGTCCAAATTTTAGTCTAACCTGCGGCTGCTTGGTTTCTCTAAAATGGGAGCAGCAGTCAATCTCTTGTAGCCTTACAGATGGAAGGGCATTGCTGTGTCGTGAACCTGAGTCACCGGGTAGGTACTCGATTACTCTGCCTTCACAATGTCCTGGTAAAAGTTGTATTTGGTTGAAAGAAAAGATTGTCTGGATATACTCTGTCATGGCCTTGAATTTTGTGCAGTTCTTTGAGATTTGTTGAGTGCTTGTTTAGAGGCTTCATTTTTAGCAGCATGGGTACAACCATCGTCCTGAACAAAAGTACCAGGCGACGCTGCCCTTGCTCAAACATATATACTCCCTCCGCCCCGTAGTGTCAAAAAACATCTTACATTACATTGTGGGACGGAGGGAGTAGCTCTCTAAGCCGTTTCAGTAGTAAGTGGGTTTTAGCAAGGTGTCATGTTAATGACAATTTGATCCTTCAATTCATGGTGCAAATTGATTTTTTCATGGGCAAAGGCTCCAAAATTTCATATCGATGGGTGCAGTCTTTCAGATAGGCAGGTGGCCTTTGAGGGAGGAGATAAGTTTTGCTTTCTAAGCGCCTTGTTTGGATGCTGCTCTCACCCTCCCTTGCTTGGCTTTTTACAGTTCTTTTCCTGTATAGCTACATAGATAGATAGATTTTCTTTTCCTTACCTGTACATTTATATATTTTATAAAAAAATAAAAATTCGGTGGGAACAAATTCCTACAGTTGGGGGTCAAAAAAACACGATGGCACAATTTTTCTTCATCCAGACAATCTACTGCAATGTTGTAGGGAAGGGGACTTGGTGCACCGGGTGCCAGGCTGCCAGCCAACCCTATATACGCAAAATAATTTAGTAATTGCAAAAAAAGGTCTTTGAAACATTTTTGGAATCAAATATGATAAGTATTGTACTCGTATACACAGCGGAGCACCAATGGAAGATGAGAATTCGTCGTCGCGTACTGGCGGTGGAGAAAGGAAAGGAGTTGGGCAGCCGCGGCAGGTCGAGGCGAGGAGAAGAGTAGCACGGGAGCCTCCCCGTCGCGGGGTAGCCGATCAGGAAGAAGAGGTAATCGTCGCCGTGTTTTTTGTTTTTGAGTCTAAGCCGTCGCCGCGGCTGGAGCAGATGCTATGGTCGGGCCAATATTAGGCTATCTTGGGCTTATTGGAATAGGCATGACAGAGAGTATAACAGGGCTCGGGGCTCCTGTTATATGCAGGTTAAGGCCAGGGAAACCAAAGAAATCAAAGCCCAATTACATTGGATGGGCCGAAACGCCCCGGCTTCGTGAAAATACGGTACCAATTGGCGACGACCACACCCCTCGTCATAAAAAAGGGACAAATGACCACGACCATGACCAATTGACCATCTTTGCGGATGAAAGCCAACCAACAGAATGCGGTGGCCCTGAAATCAGCACTAGATTTATATTGTGCGGCGCCGGGACAGCTGATTAGCGTGGAAAAATTCAGTATTTTCTTTAGCCCTAATACAGAGGTAGAGATCAGAGAACAATTGTTACAACTTTGAATATAATGACAGAGGCTCTGAATGATAAATATTTGGGTCTGCCAGCAAATGTGGGGTTAATAAAACAGATTGTTTTATGTTCTTTATTGAATGTATCATTAAGAAAATCAATGGTTGGAAGGAAAAACTTCTATCTGCCGGGGGGAAGGAGATCCTGCTTAAGGCTGTGATCCAAGCCATACCTACCTATGCAATGTTGATCTTTAAAATTCCTAAAAAAATCTGTAAAGGAATCAATGACGCGCTAGCGCATTTCTAGTGGGGTGATGAGGAGAACCAGAGGAGGATGCACTGAATGGCCTGGTGGAAAATGTGTGTACCAAAGAACCATGGAGGAATGAGATTCCGTGATATTCACTGTTTCAATCTGGCTTTACTCGCTAAGCAGGCATGGCGTCTACTTGATAACACTGACTCACTGTGTGCCACTATTCTAAGAGCAAAGTATTACCCTGATGGTGATTTGCTGAATTTCAAGTCAAAGCATGAAGCTTCTTTCACCTGGCAAAGCATTATGGCGGGCATTAGCACTCTGAAACGTGGCTATATTTGGCGAGTGGGAAATGGAAAAAAATATCAATATCTGGGAAGATACCTGGATCCCAAATTGTGTCATCAGGAAAGTTGTGACCCCTAAGGGGGGACAATTGTTATCAAAAGTGGTTGACTTGATTGACACTGTCTCCAGTAAATGGGATGAGGACCTGATTAGACAAACTATGTGGCCCATTGATGTACAACGTATTATTTCAATCCCACTTCCGCAACATGATATGGCAGATTTCATTGCCTGGAGTAATACAAAAAGTGGGTTGTTTTCGGTACGATCTGCTTATTATGCGGAGTGGAATTATTAGTATGGAAGCCAACTAACATATTCTATTGGGATGGGATGAACTACCCCTAACCCTATATGGTGTCAGATATGGAAGTTAGCTTGCCCGACAAAAGACAAAAAAATTATATGGCGTACTTTACATGGTACCCTCCCATGTCGAGTAACACTTGCCAATAGACACATGAAGGTCTCGCTCATATGCCCCACTTGCTCTCAGGATCTAGAAGACACGAAACACATGTTGTTCCTATGTAGTAAAGCAAGGGAGGTTTGGAAGAAGCTTGGGATGGACGAGATTATTAACAAAGCCTGCGAGGTTGATCGTGCTGGAGAGGCGATATTGGAATATCTTTTACTTCTCCTAGATCAAGATTTGAGAATCACGGGTTTCCAAAACGTACGAGAAATGATAGCTATATCAGCTTGGTATTTATGGTGGGAAAGACGGAAATTGGTGCATTTTTTTTAAAAAGGGGCGCTTTATTACTTAAAAGATTTTAAGCATTACACCCGGCCTCTGCATAACTAAGATGCACACAGCCAAATAAGATCCTCTCACACAAAATAAAAATAAAACGGCGAATTACAACGAAACATGTAGAGTCCGTATAACGCCTAATGTGGAGGGGGGTCAATCCTTAGATCATGCTGCCACCCATGTTGGGTAAAAGTATCCCTCGCCGTAGCCTCCAATCGTGTACACACCTCCGTAAACAAGCCTCGATTCTCCACGCGTTATAGATAGGACCATAAACAAAGAGTCCCGATACATCTGTAGATAACCTGCAACAGAGAAGTACTTTTATCGTTAAAAACCTTATCATTTCTACATAGCCAAAGCGACCAAATAACGGCAAGCGCTCCCACCCTGAGAAGAGTTCTAAACCTGTGATCAATCCCATGTAACCAGTTGCCAAGTACATTAGCAACACTACAGGGAGGATACAAGCCAGAAGCTATTTGGATGACTGACTATATAGAACGAGCCAATTTGTATTGGAAGAATAAATGTTTTATTGTCTCCTCATGGTGACAAAATACATAGTGCATAAGGAATTAACTTAGAATGCAACTCATTTATCAATGGGATCACGGCCCTTGCAGCAAATTTTGTGAATGCTTCATCTCCAAAAGCGTCCATAAGAGAGGGTGGTTGGTACTGCCCTCCTAGGGCCTTTGTAAAACTAAATGTTGACGCGTCTTTTGATCATGACATGCTAACATGGACAATGGGGGTAGTCTTGAGAGATGACAAAAATAGGTCTATTGCGGGAGGAAATAAAAAAATCAAATATTGTACGGATGTTCTGATGACAGAAGCTTTAGCTCTGAAATTTGGCTTAACTTTGGCACAAAGGGCGGGATATAACCGCCTAATCATCAACTCAGACAATATGGAGGTGATTGAGACCATGCAAGACGGAGGACAATCAGCGGGTGCGGCGGCGACAATCTTTGACGACTGTTTTCACTATGCATGTGACTTTGTCGTAACTAGATTTGAACATTGTAATAAAGAGGCAAACAAAGTAGCTCATGAACTCGCTAGATTAGCTAGATTTTATGTGACTTCGAATTGGTTTAAGGAGCCTATCAATGAAATTGTAACGATCCTTACAAATGATGTACCGATTATTTCAAATGAATAAAGTATTGTTTTAAATTAAAAAAAGACCAATTGACCATTTCGACCTCACAGATTAATTCGGTCGGGCAAAGTTGGAACAATAGTTGAAATACGGTAACTGAACACAACACATCACGGTCTCCCTTGAAAAGTTCTACTAGCCGAGCTGTCATGATCTCCTCGGACAAAATCACCGGTGAGGCAGTGCATGACGATTTCCCGCAAAAGAAAGAGGCAGTGCATGACCATAATGGTGGTGTGTGGGCCAATGGAGTGAAGGAAATGTTGTGGTGAACTTTTCTTTTACAAAAAACCCTCCCCGTATAGTAATCTATATATTTATATATACCAATATAAAAGGAGCCAAAAGCCATATGCAATTAATCTCGACCGTCAAACCATGTCAATCCAACGACCTAGATTGTTTCAATGGGGAGCGCTCAATATATTTAACACACAATTAATATCATATCAAATATCAATGGCTCTGCTAATTATATAATTAATGTGTATTAGTTTCTCCGTCCAGAAATACTTGTCATCAGGTGAATAAAAGGGGATGTATCTAGATGTATTTTATTTCTAAATACATCCTTTTTTTCCATTTTGATGACAAGTATTTTTGGACAGAGAGAGTAATTGATATCCTATCTGATATTAACATACAGTTAATTTTCTCTCTAATATTAACATGCATTTCATGTACGCATTTACTAATTAATTAAAAGGTTTCTACAAATACATCATACAGGGCGAAACACTATTAAGAAAAACATCATCCAACCTATTACAAAATGAAAATTTCCCAATCTCATGCGTCACCATATTGGCTTGATGATTGAAAAACTTACTGATGCTCAGGCTGTCTTCTTCAGACAAGAGGGACATGTCAAATCTTCATTTGCAAGAAAAAAGCACAAAAACCAGATACCAACCAGCCTTCTAGAAGTTTGGTGCCTAGGAGCCTCCTAGAAGACCGGTGTCCACTTGTGCAATTTGGCTAAGTCAAAACTCATGGAGCCCAAAAGTTATTGGTCATTACCGAAGATCACCGTCCACCGGTTTGACGTCGTGGTGGCGTTGACAACTGGTCTGACAAGGATCATGTGAATCTCGGCTTTGAAGACGGGTCAACAATTCGATGGTGGCAGTGATTTCTGAAGCATGTGCATGTGATGTAGTCTGCTGAACTGAATGTGTGCTCCGAGTACGCCATGCGGGCGACTCGGTGATGACCCTAGATATAGCTAGTAGGGCGTTGCAATGGCATCCCCATTGTCGAGTTTGTAGGTGTGACATTGTGGCTTCGGATTGTTTGATATATGTTTTTATCAGACCTTTGTTGAATAATTTAATAAAGAAGATTGTGTGCATCTTTTCATTTTTTTAGAAAAGGAGGATGATCCCCGGCCTCTGCATCTGGGAGATGCATACGGCCACTTTATTGATTATTCTCAAGGACCTTACAAAGTATTACAAACAATATACCTGAATCCATCATCTTGGCAACATATGCCATTACTCCTATCCATATGATGAAGGGGTGCTAGCTGGGCCACTACCCAAACCACTCACCTAAGCCTAACATATAAAGCCGGAAGCCCCAGCCGAGCCACATACCGGGTCTGGGGCACAATCCGGTCAGACGCACTCGTGTGTCGTCGCCGCCATCTTCCACAGGTCCGTCTTCAGATCATATTGAGGCTTCTACCTTGTCTGGCCACTCTGCCATCGACGCCCCCATGACGCCAGACAGCTTCCTCCTCCTGCACGAGTCCATCTCCGCGCATCAGACGCCGAGTCTCCACAGCACCATGCCGTCGAGATCCGCCACCATCAATGTGTAAGATGAAGCACCGCTCCACCAAAGTCGCCGTCCTCTAGTCCCTCGAGTCCGTGTGCACCTCCAAGAATGACGCCCCCAGGGGGGAAACGACACCAGAGAGCCGCCGTCATCCGATCTACTGATCTAGGGTTTCCCTCGAAGGTAGCAGAGAGTGGCCTTGAACATCTCCACGGCGATGCCTTCAGGAAGGGAACGACGCAGACAGCGTCGCCATCGCCGGCCTTGGCAATAGCCAATAGCAGGTTTTCACCCAGATCTGATCGAAGATCTCCATCTCTCGTGCACGGGTTGCCGCCGTCCTTGCCGGGATCTGGATGATCCCGCTTGCCAGATCTCAGCACGGAGAAGCCCCCCCACCGAGACCCGCCGACCGAGCAGGGGAGGCCGAGGCCGCGCCCACAGGTTAGATCCGCGATGGATCCAAGCCCGCGCCGCTGCCCCGAAGTCAGCCCCGCGCGCAGTCGTCACCGCCTGCCGAGGCTCGCCGCCGCGTGCCCCGCGCCCCGCCACCGCTCGCCGAGGCCTGCCACCGCAGGACACCGCCGCCTGCTGCCTAGATCCGTCGCCCGCGGAAGAAGGGGAGTTGGGAGAGGGAGTCCCCCCGCCGCCGCCGTCTGCCACGCGGGTTTCACCCGGCGGCGTCACCCGGCGGCGGCGCGAGGAGGGAAGAAGGAGAGGGCGGCGGTGGTGCGCAAGGGTTGGAGGCCCCCGAGTCGCCCAGGGCGGGGGCGACGCGAGGGAGTGCTTGTTTCTTCTCTTTGGAAAAAATAAAACCCATCGGAATTTGGTCAAGACCAGAATCTCATGAAATTTTTCTCGAAAGCCAATGTCCTAAGTAAGTACTCGGAATTTTCGAGTAGAGAAATTCACGATGCGCAAAAGCTAATAGTGTTCTTGGTTCGAGTTTTGGCCAAGTCCAAAATGCCTTGGGAGTCTATAAGCTAATGGTTTTGCATAAAGACTGATTTCATCATCAAAGTATAGAATCCGGTGTCCGTTTTGCATAAAGACTGATTCCACAAACAAATATGATGTCCGTTTTGGAGATCACGTTGGAGATGCCCTAACGCTGTGTGGAAGCTCAGTGTTCCTCCACAATCAAATTCGGGTGCCACAAGTTCATGGTTATGGTGGTTTCGTTCCACAATTGATTTATTTAGCTAGGGAGAAGCTAAGTTCTCTGAACATAAATTGTGAAATCATGCACGTCGGCCCCTCAGATTGGGTACATTTAGCACACTGTTATTTTACAAACTAAGGATCCAGGCGGGCATCCTGTGAACCCACATGCATGTACTAAAGTGAAAGTCAATCCTAGGTCGACTTTTACTATGCTTGCATACGGGTTCACGCGGACTCGTGCCGTGCTTGCACGGTTGCACCCCTCTGAGTAAATCAGATTGATAGAGATAGACAACTGCAACAACAAAACAGTAGTAGTATTCCCGCCTTCCCGGCCAAAACAAAAACAGAAACAGCAGTAGCATAACAACAACATGTATAAGAAAAACTCAACACGCCGTCCCCTTTGGACTGTCATAGTTCTTCCAGAAAACCAAGAACACCAATGATCCGCCAACCAGGGTCGCGGTTAGCCGTCTGATTGACAGTAGCGGCCGTACGCAGTACTAGGCATAATGGAGACAAGACGAAACAAATCTTCAAGGGTGGTAGAGCGCACAAGAAGACGCGACAGTGGTGCACAGGGGCCCTGGGCACACAGCGTACGTACATGATTCATGGGAGAATTAGCTAAGGTGACGATTTATGAAGGCGCTTCAATCGGGAGTTAATAGTGGTATTGCTTCTAGTAGTGGCCGTTGGCGGCGCCTGAGTTGGTGGCGCTGCCGCTCTTGCCGTCGACGACGACCTCGGTCATGGGCACCTGGTCGGCCTTGCGCTTGCGGGCCTCCAGGATCTGCTGCGTCGACTTGTAGTAGATGGCGTACAGGATGATCTGCCCCACAGCGAACATCACGCCCAGCCCGTTGGGGATCTGCATCCAACAGCAAAGAATACCAATTTAACCCACAGCCGACAGTAACGGAGAACACAAGTTTGTAACCAGAAAAACAAATCATAATCCAAGAAAGAAATGTGTTATAGCCTGAGCCAAGGGTCAGCCGTCAGCACAGTAGGTGATGCGTTGCATGCCGTGGCCGCGGACAAAGGGCAACTAGAATAGCACATGACGTAACCTTGTGTTGTGGTGTACCACCGACCGACCGTGCATCAGCGGTCAGGAGCGGACGGATAGATCCCAAAGGCCACACGCATTGATTGGGAGGTGAACGCAGTGCGATGCCAATGCGGACGTGGGCGGTGGCAGTATCTACCTCGCCGTCTTCCTCTCGTGCCATACACACCGCACAAGCTACACCTCACAGGTCGGGATCAGCGGCTGAGCCCCCCCGATTTGACGCCTCCAGTTGACAACACGACCTCCCTTTGAACGAAAACCTGTTTTTTTTCTCTCTTGGAATTTCAACGAAAAAAACATGTTTTTGCCATCCCGACACACAGCTGACGCCAACAGTAATTATTCATCGGAGTGGGACAGGCGGACAGGTGTGTGCTGTTAGTGTGACAATTCCAAGTCCGAACAGGTAACCGACAACGGAGACGATCCGGTCCGCAAGGCCAGTCGTGACGACACTGGCTTGACCTTTTGGTCTCACGACGATGTCCGCCGAGCCATGCCACCGTGCAAAAGTAGGACCCGAGGCTTGAAAGCAACGCCGCCGCCTGGTCCGATATTCCGGCCCATCGGACGCGCCCGTGGCCAGCCTAAAGACTGCATGCTGCTAGATGGCCCATGGAGGCTTGGTCCTACTAATAACGACGCTAGCTAGCCAGCAACCCAATCTTATCTTGCCCAAATGAAAGATGAAAACGGCCCTCCCAGCACAAAAACGTGCATGTACACCGTAGCTAGTCCCATGAACGTGCATGCAGATCGCAGGGAAGCAAAGAAAGGGCCCCGGTTACTTGTGTCCGCGGGGGGTGCACGCAACTTGTTGTGAGAAGGCAAGCTCAACATCGTCCTAGTTGCAAGGCTGCATTCATTTGGGTTGGGTGGTTCGCCTGAACCAATCCAAATATGGTTTGGTACCTAACCAGATCAGATGCACCTCCTAAATTTATACACCCGGCCCTGCCATCATCCACTTGCCTTGGCAGAACTTAGCAAGTCACCCATGTTCACTTCCGGCGCTGCTTACTTTAATTAGACGGGCATTGCCCAGGTTCTGTGCTGGCTACTCAGGGTAGCAAGCGCGCTCAAGTGGAAGCCATCCTCATCTCACACCAGCAATCAGTATACTGCTAGCTAATGGTTACTAGTATTACTGTGTGTGAAAGTTTAGAAGGCTTACGGTGATGTAGAGGTCGAACTTGATGAGGGCGTAGGCAGTCCAGCAGATGCCATTGACGAGCGAGGCCACGGACAGGAACAGGGGCATGTACTCCACGCTCTTGGTCTGGATCACCATTTTCTGAAACACGGACACGGAAAGAATCAACATGATGATGATGATGAACAATACAAAAGAAAATTCATTCATTTTACAGACAATTGTTTGTTTGTGCTGCACAATTCATCCAAAGAACAGGTAGTAAAACGGAAACAACTTCCCTCTACACGTATTAACCAGGTTATGAAGCACAAAAACTACCAAGGAAGCGACGGCATGGGAGATGACACAACTTTTGTTTTGTTTGAGATGGGAGGACTAAAAGTAAGTGCATAAAAGAACAGGAAAAAAAGAGAAGCTATGATCAATTTTAACGAAAAGTGCAAGCGGGCACAAGTTGTTGACTACAGTCGGATCAAAAAGTGAAGGATGAACAAAAAGAACATGAGTTTTTTCCTTTCTGACAGCAAAAGAACATGAGTTTTTCCTCTCTCTTTTGACAGCAAAGGAACAGGAGTTGATTTGACGCCATAATTGGAAACACTGCATGTACGTAATACATTATATTTTTTCTTGAGAAAAGAATATTTGCGCTGTTCAAAGTAGATAGCGAGGTAACCGAAAAGAATACAGCTACTGCTAGATAGAGAGAAAACGACAGGATTACGCAGGCGTGTACTCGCGTATTCTATTCTCCACCCAGAACGTACCCAGAGGCCAGAGCAGACGTTGGTCAATCAAATTAGTATAGATTAATCCAGCGTTCTTTTCCTATGGTTATTCTCATTCGAAGAGCGGTTAATTAATCATTTCCTCACCTACCGGTACTAGTGTAACACTGAAATCAATCATTAAAATACCACCACCAAATCTCACTCCAATACTGTACTAGTTTGTAGGTGAGACCGTGGGAGTGATGGCGACGCGTACCATGACGGAGAGCGGCGCGGCGTACATGCCGGTGCCGAAGAGGACGCAGAGGATGCCGACGACCATGGACCTGCGGTCGTGGGTGTGGGCGAGGGAGAGGACGAGCGCGGCGACCCCCGCGACGAAGGCGACCTCGGCGACCAGCAGGAGGAGGACTCGGCGGCGGGCGGCGCCGACGGAGAAGGTGAGGAAGAGCGCGATGTAGGTGAGCTCGATGAGCATGCCGGTGCCGTTGATGGTGATGACGAGCATGCTGTGCGGGTGCACCAGCGGGAGCCCGTAGAGCACCCACATCATGCAGTTCAGCAGCGTCGCCAGGTACGGCACCGCCGAGTACTGCTCCACCGTCTTCTTTTTCCAGATACTGATGAACGTCGGCCTGCAAGGAATTCGCAGTTGGCAAGTATTTTCACTGGTCAGGCATTTTTTCGAAGAGATATCCAAACTATTTCGATCAGAAAAAGGAATAGTACAAAATTATCGCGGTGCCGATCTACGCATTCTCACGAATTTGTGTCATGTAATTCTCGCTCTTTGCTCAGCACAATTAATTCCGGAATCCATTTGTATCCGGCGAATTAAATGAAGATAGACTTATGGTTTTAGTCGGTGCTTACACTGGGGATAGGAAGAGCACCAAGGCGGTTCCATTGCCTGCAAGGGAGACACCAAACAATCCCAAAAAAAGCAACATCAGAAGTAGATCTCGGACGATGAACAAACAAACACAAAGGAGGAACCGCCGAACAAATCACGAATCGGGCCGCTCTAGGGAAGCCGGCGCGTGATGCTCGCTTGCACTAGAAGGGAGCAAAAGTTCGTGAAGAGGACACGCGCAAAGCGGCGAGAAACAAAAAGAGCATCAGGAGGCAACAGCAGCACCCCCACCGTACGACCCGTGTGGCGCCGCTGCCACATGGTTTTCGCTGCAGCGCAGGCGCACATGCGTATGCGGTACAGAGGCGGGGGGCGTGGGGCGACGGGGAGGCACGCACCTATGACGCCGATGACGGTGCGGATAGCGTCCGGCGACACCATGGTGGCTTGGCTTCCGGCGAGAGGTAACCGCACCGAGGGGGAACTGATCTAGAGGAGCGTCTCGGGTGCAGACGAGAGGGGGAGAGGGGAACGGATTTCTGGACTTGGAGGGGAGGAGGGGAAGGGGGCAGGGAAGGATGCAAGTACAGCGGACCCTCTCCCTCTGTCTCTGTGCGTCGCGTTTGATGAGTGAATGATCTCAGGAAAACACCGAACGGGGTCCTTAAATAGAGCGGGGCTGCTGACCCGTGGGCCCCGCACCGTCGTCCCCGTCTCTATCTCTATCCGGCTCTCTCTCTCTCTCATGGACGCCGCGCCGGCCTTTCGCATACGCCTCTTTCTCTGTGTGTGTGTGTGTGTTTCTCTCTCTATAACTAACTACCCCCGATGTGCTGTGGCCCAGCAGCCAGCCGGGTGGGTTGGTCATACTTTTCTTTTTTCTTTTAGGATTTTATTTATTTAGATGAAATGGTGGGTTGCTTCGACTTTGGTAGATATTCGCATTCTTGGCCCGGGAGCAACCCGCTGGGCGTAAATACCAGTGTTTTGGTTTCCTGCAACCATTTTTGCTTCCTTTTGCCTTTACTTTCCGTCCGATTGAGCCCGACTGACTCAGATAATGCAGACTCTATTCTGCATTTTTATTTGGCTAACTCTACAGCATCACGAGATTGTTTCGTCTATGGTGCTTGGTTGACAGCACTGGGCATTATGGTTGTGAAGATGCAATTACACGATGTTAGGTTGCTCCAGGGTGAATGTTTTGGTCATCCCTTCTCGCGGGCAGTGATCTTACCGTATTACATAGATAGGCAGTACCAAACTAATATCATTTCAATCCTAGCTACTAACAAATGACGGTTCATCAGTTCGTCTTAACTACTAATAAATGGCAATGGCAGTACCAAATTAACAATCATATAGCTCAATGTGGGAAAGTTCATCAATGTCGAGCAAGGGGGGAGTTCATCTTCCTCGTCTTCTTCCATTTCAGATATTTGAGATACCTCTGTTAGCCCACATTGCTTTAGTCACTTTAACCTATTGCTCTTACAAGTTTCACTTTCATGTTCGCTAGTCGTCACATCTTTCTTCTTCGGCACATGCTCATCAAGACTCCATCCTAAGATTCACAGGAAAACTCAGTTGCATGTGTGAAAAACATAAAAACAAAACAAATCCCTACTCTCACCTCTAGTACTAACTAATGTATTGATGATCATCATCTTTTCCCGATGAATGGCATAGTGGAAGTAACAAGGATGCCCGTAATAATGAGACCACACTGTTAGAGAAACGATGTTGTTGAATAGAACCAACTTATGAAATACTGCGCGATCACATCGTCTAATTAGTTGTCGGTATTTTGAACAGAGTGTTAACGTTTACTCACATCATTAGACAAGATGGTTGTTTTGGGTTGCCAAACGTCACACCTTAACTAGATGGTCATCATTACTACTAAAGGGGAGTTGGTCTTTGTACGTTCACCTTCACCCTTGCCTCTCTCCTATCTGTTTTCCCTTCTGTATGCCACCCCTCCCACATGTTTTGCATTAACTCAATCAAATCAAATTACATCTTACCAAAACCTCAACAAAATCAAAACTTTAATTGCGGTCCTTTACCATACCCAAATCAAATCAAATCTTATCAAAATCTCAACTAAATCAAATTTTTTTCATTTTTCCCAACTCATAGCGAAATCAAATCAAATCTTACAAAATCTCAACTAAATGAAAACCTTCCTCGCCTTCCGCTATCCATACTCAAATCAAATCAAATCTTACCAAAATCTATAATATGGTGGGTATATGGTATGTGTCGGGCACAATGGTGTTGGACCATTAGAATATGTATGCCCCTGTTGCAACACACGATCAATTAGCTAGTCTCTACTATTAAAGTGGAGCTGGTAGGTTCGCCTCACTCCCTTCGCCGGTTTTTTCTCCTTACGCCCCTCGGATTTTCTGTTGATTTTTTGATAATTTCAACCAATGTCACACAAAGAAAATAACATAAATAAAGTAACTTGGAATAATCTATATGGAACCAGTAATTTCCTAAAATTACGTCCTGCATTAACTCAATCAAATTAAATCAAATCTTATGAAAATCTCAATTAAATCAAAAAAAAAATCTTGCTTTCTCCTACCCATACCCAAACAAAATCAAATCTTACCAAGATATTAGCTAAATCAAAACATTCCTTACTATTCCCTTACCATACTCAAATCAAATTAATTCCTACCAAAACATAAAATAAGATGGGTGTAAGATATATGTCAGACAAGGTTGATATTGAATCACTAGAATATGTATGTCCCATTGCAACATATGGACAATTAGCTAGTAAAAGTAACTTACAGGTATACCAAAAAAGCATGTCATGGTGCTCGATAGTTCAAGACTGGATTTGCTCCTCCGGCGATGGAGAGATACATGTTGGCACCACTCGGTATTACGGTATCCATTATCGCCTGACCAAACACAGTGATAATCTCTACTCCTAATGTCTCAGTTGGTTGAATAGTACCACGGTTTATTTTCGTCCGGTTTATCTTTGTCTCACATCCCACCACCATATCTCCTCACGTTGATTTTTTTACCCTCACAATAAAAACTTTCCTAACTTTTTCAAAGTTTCCTAACTAGACATGTTATAAACGGGCAGGAACCGATAGCACATTACCAATAAAAACTTTCCTAACATTTTCACCTTTCCTAACTAGCCACATTACAAACCGACACGAACGAATAGCACGTTACTAAACAATAAAATCCAGTTTTCGGGTAATTAATTCCAAATCTCAACTTCCCTAACGAAACGATCCGTACTTTCCTAACAATTAAATAAAGTATGTGGTGACAATTTGTCTCGTTTGTTCCTATCAATCCCAAAAAATCGCCGTTCAACCTACCGTGTTTTTGTATGGAAGATATCCTAGACAGATAGGACGTGATCGTGGTCTCTGATTTGGTTGCACATGACGCGGCGCACTTTGTAAAAGGAGCGTCGCACGCATTCCCTTCCAGACTTCATGGCGCCTCCCATCCTCCATGTCTACTGCCAGACCACACAATACCTTTTCCCATTCTCTAGCGGTTCCGCATCCCTGCAACACCAACAGGCTCGCATCCTCCCGGCCGCTGATCCTTCGTCATAGTTTTCGACCCTTCCCCGCACCCCGCCAGCGCGACACCCGCTGCCCCACTCACACATGTCGGTGTTGGTCAGCGTCTATCTAGCTTATCCCGGGACGGAGCTCACCCCATCGTTGTCGGTGCCATGGCCATCTTGCACATGGAGCCACCTCCGCCGCCATCCGCCAGCGTCGACGACGAGCGCGACCCCGAGTATTGAGAGGCTATGCGAGGGCGATGAGGCCGAAGAGTCCAAGTTTGTCCCTTGGCCGCCACCCTTCCTGTCGCACGCGACCACTGCACCATCTCGCTCGCACGAGCATGACACCCCCGCTACCATCCCTCGAACGAAGCCCTATCCTCGCCTCCGGCTACCTCCTGAATCCCCCCACCATGCTGCCTCACCTCGCTGACTCACTTACACCTAGCAACCGCCGACGCCGGATCCCGTCTCCATGGTCAGCGTCGTCGATCGCCTCCGGCTGCCCGGCCACTTCCATCTTATCAAAGAAGCCGCCAGTCCTCCATCTTCTCAAAGAAGCTGACGGCACTGGGCTCTTGCTACCGAGTACGCACCTCCCCATGTCTGGCCGGTGGCAGCATGTCGCATTGGTTGCCATACCACCGAGTAGCCAACAGTAACTACCTGGAGTGCCTTTCTCTGCCCGAAGATCTCATTTCCGATCTGGATTACAGGAACTATGGGGCACAATAATCGCCGCTTTTGTCTGCATAACCTTGCCATTAATCCAAGTAAGCACTCCTTTTTTGCTTGATGTATGTACCCTTTGATAGTTGCTTGATTCCTTTTGTTGTTGTTGGCACTGGTTATCATGGGAGAGTTGGAGAGAGCACATGGATAAGCAGCACGCCCGCTTCCTGAACCAAAATTTCGATTTTGCATGAACGGTTGTTCTATGTTCTCAGACTTTCTTTTGATTTTAGGTCTGTATGTATGAACGGTAGTGTTTGCTCGATGCTGATTGGTATAAGGACTGAAGAATGTATGTAGCTTTTTTATCTATTGGACAATTGGATGTTTCACACTAACGTAATTGAGTGAGGCTTGGTATTTAGGACCAAGTTATTAACGAAGGTTGACTTAGCTAGGTCCTGTAGATGCAAAATACAGTATGCGAGACGATTGGATTATCATTTGCGACAATGTTATTGTCATTAATGTTCTAGCAGCATTACTTATAGTCCCCAAGGCATTATTTAAGTTCATAATTTTTACATAAATCATAAATTTGAAATGTTCAAGCAAAATCATATGACTTGTTTAGCTCGGAAATTGAGAGATGTAGGAAACTAAATTCTTCCATGTCTGAGACATTTCTTTTGAGTTCAGTTTTCTCCAACATCTTATTCTTAGGGATGTCTAAACTGATAGAGAACAATTAACGACGGGAATTGTCTCAAGAACCTTAGGAGCTGAATGTGAGTGAGCTTTGCATGGAATCAAATTTTCAGTTATAATGGCACAAGATTTAGTTTCCTCCAGTATCTCACTCACGGGCATATCTCATGTACCGGAGCCATCCACACCGACTGTATAGAACCAGGCCTCCACTGCTCCGACGCTTCACCAGGCAGGCGGCCACGAGGGTTATGTTCTACTCTCCATCCTTCCTTTCTTCCGCATTCGTTCCGCTCACTGCATTTTTTGCTTGCAGTGCGAGGAAATTGGACTAAAGATGATGGATACTAATGAGGAAATGGGATAGTGGGAGGATTGCCGAAGCTGGCCAAGCAAAAGTAAGTGCTTCTCCTTTGTGTTTAAGAAATAAAAAATCGGTGTTTAAATGTTTGACCCAAGGCAGGTGCAAAGAATGCTAGCTTCTTCTGCTTGCGAG